GTCCCTCAGGGCTCTGCCTCCTGGGGAACTGGCAGGGCTTGCAGGGTGACTGCGCTGCAGAGCCCAGGTGCCACCTGGCTTTGCGCCCCTGCCAGGCTGCCCTTTCCTGAGTCAGGGTTCACAAGAGTGGGCGCTGTTCCGCCAGTGTCCCAGGTCTGGTGGCCTCTCCAGCACTGCCTGGGCCATGTGGGATCCCAGGGAACCCAGCACCGTGCCGTCTTCAGGTCTCTCCCAGCCACATCCTTCCTTCCTGGGCACACCGGACTCCGTGCCCAGGGTTCCCACCTGTGCTGGGCCAAGAGGGAGGCGAAGGTGTCTCCATTCCACCTCGGACCTGAAACAGAAGCCATCTGCCTCATTTCACTCTATTCTTTTTATATTTTCTTCTCCATCAACCCACAAGAGTTTATTCTGAGAGTGAATTCTAGAAATCTGAGTATCAGCAAATTAGCAGTTTGTATATTTGAGCTCAGTCATCATGAAGTAAAGATGGGTATTCCAACGTCAGGATGTGTGTGTGTGTGTGTGTGTGTGTGTGCACGCAAAGTGACACGCTCCTGTGATCCGAGCACTTAGGGAGCTGAGGCAGGAAGATTGCCGAAAGTTCAAGGCCAACCTGAACTAAGCAGCCAGTACATTAGGACTGTGTACTGAGTGACTGCTTGAGGGACCCAGTCATCCTGGTCACCATCAGCAGTGTGTCCTACACAGACACATTCGGTGGTCTCTTGTAACACTCTCTCTCTCTCTCTATTTAAAATTACAAAATAAGAACAAAACACTACACTTAAGAATAAGCAGATGACAAAAATTTTTTAAAGCCCATTTCCCCAAAAGGATGTCAAACCAATGAAAGTCTACAGTACTGACAGGGGTTTATTTTGTTCAGTGTGTTGCCTTTTTAAAATAACCAATGATCCTATGAAATTAATAGCATTTTAACCAATTGTCTTAGTTACTTGCTGAGACAAAATACCCGACACCCAAAGTTAAAGGAGGAAAGGTTTATTTGCTCACAGTTTGTAGAGATGGGTGGGTGGCATGGCAGAGGGGGATCACAGGGGAGAAATAGTTCATGGCAGGCAGAAGGCACCAAGTGACCTTACCAGCTTCTTTTTGCTTCTCTTTATACTCTAGGCTACTGGGTTTAGGGCGTGCCAAACCAATCAGTGCACTGATTTAGTGATCACCCGCCCTTAATCCCCATGTCACTCACTCTACAGCCAGCTACCTCTGAAAAGCCCCACCTATGACCGCATGAGGCTTGGGGTACTTCAGCCTTAACGGGGGCTTAGCTCCAACTCAAAAGAATTAATTTTAGTAAGAAGGGACGGATGTGACCTCACTTTGTACTAGCTAGTATGCAGCGTATGCTACATAAAGATGTGTGAATGATAAGAAAAAGCAGCTCTGGTCTAGATTGAAGGGGAAGTGATGCTTGACTTGAATTCTGGAGGAACTCAGAAGGCGGGGAGGAGCATGAGGTTTCCAGAGGACTTGGAGCAACTACAGGCCTAGGTTGCCGCAGGCAGCTGCTCCAGCTGTGTTGCTGGGAATGAATCGCCAGTGCCTGCCCTGATTCTTCAGTGCTTTAAAGTGGAATTTTCAACGCTGGTGCCATAAAGTGTGTCCGATTGTTCTGAGATCCAAAGCACATTTTTGAGGAGTTCACTCGTGTCTTAAGGGCATTATCCTATCATTAATTATTTAGTACAAATGCGGTGGCAGGCAAGCCCATCACGCCTTACTCCATGAGCTAGGTTGCTGGCTTTAGCAGTTGGTGTAAGCGACTCACTTTTGTGGATGTTTCAGAGGCAGCACAGTTCCGAGTGTGAGGAGGTGAGTTGAGATCGGGAGGCCTGGTGTCCCCATGTAGGTAGGGTCTTTATCAGGGTTGCGCTCCCTTCTTTATTTTTCTGCATCAGTTGCCTTTGGTTCCTCGGCTTGTAGGCGAGCTTTAGGCCTCCCGCCTCTCGCAGTATTTGCAAACACAGGCAATAAGTGCGTGAGCTGCGGCTGCCTTTCTGAACTTGCGGGTTTGCCCGGCGCGTTCTCCCCTCGGTGGGCGTGGCCCGTCCGCTGCGGGGCTCCAGGTGTCCAATCAAGTGTGACGCCTGAACGCAGCGCGCTCCGCGTCCCTCGGGTAGGGGTGACAAAACCCCAAGTACAGCACGGTAACGTGAGGCCACGGTGCTAAGCAGTCGGTACTCTAGGTTGCAAGTGACCAAAGAAGTTCGTTTGGAAGATGCATTTACTAGCCATAGTCTTGTGCTACTAATTGCGTTAGTTGGCTCTTCAAGGATTCCTATGGCTGAATTTCGGGGATCACCAACAGCTCAGAGAGCGCAACAGCTTTATTTTCCTGTTTTTCTACTTTTACAAATAACCTGTTTCTCTCTTCTTGGAGGACTGGGTAAAACAGAAGCACTCATACTTCCAAACTACAAAGCACTTCGTACAAGGCCCCAGTGAGACTTGAACTCACGACCCCTGGTTTACGAGACCAGTGCTCTCACCCCTGAGCTACGGAGCCTTCCTACGCCTGTTTATCCTTATGCATTTAAGTATAATTTTGGGAGAGGGTGTTGGCGTCCAGGTGGTTTGCTGGTCCCCCTCGCTGCTCCTCAGCGCGGGGCCGGGCCGGGCGCGGGGCTCGGCTGGCGGGAGAGGCGAGGCCCATGAGGCCCTAAGTGCAGCCGGCATCCCGGCAGATCCAGGGTGCACGCGGGACCGAGTCGCAGACCCTCGGGACGGGGCATCCCTGGGCACGGGGGGAATGAAGGCCTCCGCGTCTCGTGCTCCAGCGTGGACGCCGGGACATTCCGGGATCCGGTCCACGCCGAGAAGCTGGGATTGGTCCGATTCTGAGGTTCCCAGGTGGCCGGCGGGTCCCCCGACTGCAGCTCAACGGAGAGAAGCGCGGGTGGGAAGGCGGGGTCTGCGCTGGACGCGCGCGGCTGCCTCGACCCTCGGACCCCGGGGCGCGCAGCTGTGAGGACGCCGCGCTCCCCCGGGGATCTGCGCGCGCGGGTTCTGCGCGACCACTGTGCCATCCGCGTGAGCCGACTGGGGCGTCCTCGGGGGTCTCCGGGACCAGCCCTTCGCGGCCACTCGGGACAAAGGCAGAGCCCGGCGACAGACGCCGCTTTCTCAGGAGTCCCTCGGGCCTCTCTGTGCTCACCGCCTTGATGTTAACGCGCGCCCAGTGTCGCTGCGAGCTTCCGGGCCCGGCCTGGCTCCCCGCTGCGGACCTCACCTCGGGCCGCGTCCAGCGAGGGCTTCGCCGGCAGCACCGGCGCGGGGGAAGAGCGCTGTCCTGACCTACCTCTCAGAGGCGGCGCCTTCCGCAGGGGGCCGCCGGGCGGACTTGCGTGTGCGACGTCCGGCGCGGGAAGGTAGAGCTGACCTCCAGTTTTTTATGAGACGCCTCCTCTTTCACCAAGGGTTTCTCAGGCCAGACTCAAGAATCACAGAAGACTCTTCAGAGGGTGTCCGGTAATCTCGACGCTAGAGAGGCAGAGGCAGGAGGATCTCTACCAGTTTCCGGCCAGGCTGCGCTACATAGTTCAAGACCAGCCTGAACTACTTATTGAGCCCCTCTCTCAACAAACAAGAAAGATGGGGGAGTTGTGAGAAGACAGCGATGAAGGAGAAAAGAGCAAAGATGGAAGAGAGAAGCTCACCATGGTGGCTCATGCCTGTAATCGCAGCACTCTGGAAGGCTGAGGCAGGAGAATCACAAGCTCCTGCAGTGTGAGCAATTTAATGACTTAGCCAGACTGCCTCAAAATGAAAAAGTAAAAGGGGCTAGGGATGTGGCTTGGTGTGAAGGCTCCAGGTAGAATTCAGAGAGAGAATTGGGAGTGGACCAGCAGCCTGTTCCTATGCCCGGTACTCCCCACACACACACACCAGTCTGTGGGCAATGCCCCAAAGACGCTTTGACCCCGTTGCCATCCACCAGGCTCAGGTCTCCGGCTGCAAATCTGGATTTTAGAAAACAGCCCATGTTCCACCTTTCATCTTATGAACACCACACAATATGCTACAGGTCTGTGTGCGCGTGTGTGGTAGGTGTGTATTGGGTACAAGTATACAAAGGTGTGCGGCCCATACTCCCCATAAGGACAACCACAAAGCTCTTCAGATGTTTAAGGGGGCACCGTGGTTAGCACGCTGGAGTGGGCTGACAGTGGGGCCCAGCCAGGGCCTGTCCAGCACGCACAGGTGGGGTCCCTCTCTAGCGCTGGAGTGATGGTGGTGGTAACGCTGGTAATGGTGATGCTGGTGTTGCCGGTGATGCTGATGGGAAACCCCACAGAACACACTGACGGACAACATGCGAATTTCAAGGCATCATCTCAGCGTTAACCATATGTACATAGATCTTAGTAGAAAATTATGAAACAGGTCAGTTGCAATTCCATAACCACCTTACATTTTTTCATCTTACATTTTGAAAATATCTATTTTCAAGTGTTTAATTCATATTCAGAGGTTTGCATTTACATATGCATGGACTTTAACTGTAACACAAAATCCCAACATGTGCGTTTACCAAAGTGCACATTGTAAATTTTGCATATTGCAATTTCACCGTTCGTATGAAGAGGGTTCATTAAAAAGTAAAATCTTCCAGGTGTGGTGGTACACCCTGCGATCCCAGCACTTGGGAGGCTGAGGCAGGAGAATTGCTGGGCCACATAGTTCAAGGCCAGCCTGAGATACACCAAGAAACTTTGTCTAAAAGAAAGGGGGACCAGAGGGGGGTTGAGTACAGCTGGCAGGGAGGCCGGGGCTCCTGGGGAGTGTGGGATCTCCAGCGTCCCGAGTCCCGATCTCCCTACCCTTGAGCACGGCCCGGCTCTGCAGTGACCCGGCAGTGACCCCGCGCTCCCTGCGTGTCCACTTTGCGGTCCGCGGCAGCTACTGTCACTAAGCCATCACTAGCCCCGGGATAGAGCTTGGTAGCTGAGACCCCTTGTCACTAACTTCCAGGTGTCAGGATGGCCGAGTGGTCTAAGGCGCCAGACTCAAGCTCTGCTTCCCGTCCCGGGGTTTCTGGTCTCCAAGTGGAGGCGTGGGTTCGAATCCCACTTCTGACACATATTTTTTTCCCCTCCCTTTTCTTTCCTGCCGGGATGGGTTCACCTCAAGTCTCTTCCTGGCCACCGGCCGGGACCCTTGGATCCAGCCCTGCGAACACCCTCGCTGCGCAGAGAGGCGCTTCCCGAGCTCGAACCCTCGACCGACAAAAGCTTCGAGTTGGGGGCCCGGGACCCCCCGCGCTTTCCTCCAGAAGCCGGCGCCGCCTCGGCTCAGGGTCAAGGAGGTGGAGGCCAGGCGGACAGGAGTCGCCCCTCCTCAGTGGGTCCGGGCGCCATGGACACCCACGGGGTCACGCGGAGCCCCCACAGGTCACCAGGCGACCTAAAGGCGGCCAGGCTCGTGGGCTGCAAAACTCAGGACGCAGAAGCACACGGATTGACCGGTTTCCCAAGGACAGTGCGCTCCCGCGGGGCGGAGTAGACATCCGAGAACGCCTGGCGGCGGAGACGGGCGGACGGGGCAGGGAGCCGGGGACACGACCTTCTGGTGACTCATTTAACTGCGAGCGGGGTCGGGGACGAGCTCCGCCCCACCCGGAGCTCCTCCTGCCTCGCCCTCGGCCCAGCCGGGGCCTCACGCGCGGCCCCGAGAGTGGATCCGAGCTCTCCACGCCGGGCGTCACTCTTCCTCGAGTTCTCCTCCCGGGACGGCACAACCTTCCCTCGCGGGCCTTCTGCCCTTTGAAAGCACGCAGGGTGCATTCCGAGGTAGGCGGGCGCCCAAGAAGGAAAACAGAATAGAAACCTGCGCGTTTGTTCTCTCCGGCGCCGCCACCGGCGCAGCGGGTGCCGACCCGGGTCGGGGGCAAGCGGCCGCCAGGAGGGGCGGGGCCGAGAGGCCGGCGTCGCCTTGCAAAAGCAGCTGTGGGAAAGGACGGGGCGCAGGGGGAGGCGGCCGGCAGCCACGGACCGCAGGGAGCGCAGCTCGGAGCCCCAGCGCCGCCCCACCCGAGTCGCGGGGCGGGACCTGGGGGGCAGACGTGGCCCCGCCAGTGCGGCGACCGCAGCTGTGGCCCGGGTGGCGACGCGTGGGTCCCCCTCGCCGAGGCCGGAGGGCGCACCCCGTCTTCCGGGCGTCCCTGCTGCTGTCCCGGCGCCCGGCTCTTCGCACGCGGGTTCAGCTCGGGCGTTTCTCTCCCGCGTCCGCAGAGCCTCTCGCCTCTCGGCCTCGCTACGCCCTGGAAAGCGGGTGTTTCCCGGGCTCAGCAGCGTGCAGGCCCGCCGGGCGGAGCCCACACTGCGCTGCGCCCTGTGCCCGGGAAGTCGCTCGACCTCCGTCCCGAGGGCCCGGAGCCAGGGGCGGGGCGTTCGCAGCAAGGGTTTGGAGGGCGGGGGAGACGCGAGGGAGCAGAGGGAGCCGGGGCGGGGCGGGGCGGGGCGGGGCGGGCCCGCCTCTGCCGGGTTCTTCTCCGCCCAGCGTGAACAGCAGCCGCTCTCCCGCTTCCCCCTCCCCACCCGCTCTCGTTTTGGGTTGGGTTTGCCTCATCCCTAGGTTTCCAGCACCGCGCGGGGCCGTCCTCGGGGACCGTCCCTGCCGAGTGGACGACCCGCTCTCCCAAGAACGGGCGTTTTCGCAGCCTGGGGCCCAGTGGTGATCTACGAGTCATTCTATACCACGCATTAAGAGCCGCAACATGGAGCCTGGACAGCTCAGTCGGTAGAGTATCAGACTTTTAATCTGAGGGTCCAGGGTTCAAGCCCCTGTTCAGGCGACTGTTGGAACTTTTGTGTCAGGTCTGGGTCAGTGCGACTTTCAAAGCCCTTCCCGAGGCGGCAAACCTGCTTAGTGAGCGACATGGTAATTAGGGTCTTCCTCAGCGCCCAAGGAAAGACATCTTGCAGCCAAACGACCTTTGCGTGTCTTTCTCTGTGTCCCCGAAATCATTTGCCTACCTTCCAATGGTGGGAACCTCTGTCCCAGCACGTCCTGAAATCGTCCCTTTGTCTCTGCTCAGTTTCCGTAAAGTGCTGAGATTAGCCAGGAATGGTGGTCCAAACCTGTAATCTAACACTGGGAGGCTGAGGCAGGAGGATTGCAAGTGTGAACCCACCCTGAGCAGTTGAACAAGATCCTGTCAAAACAAGAAATGAAGAAGGGCTGGGCTCATCAACTAAGGAATGGATAAAAGAGATATGGGCTTTTTACACAGTGGAGTACCGCCCTGCCCTAAAGAAGGATGAGCTTCAGACGTTTACAGCTAAATGGATGGACGCACTTGTTGAAATGCCATACCGATGGTCTCTGGTGCGGGAAACTGAATGTGGAAGTAAGGACTGGGATGTAGAATGGATGTTGGGAATTGGGGGAAAAGTGCTCAAGTGGGAAGGGAAAGGGGAGGAGTGAGGGAAAAAGGAAGGGAGGGACAAGGAAAAGGTGAAAATGGAAGGAAAAATGGAAGCAGCTTTGTACATAGGGAGGGGAGAAGGTTTGAGGGGGAAGAAGGGATAAAATAAAATAAAATTTGTTAAAGAAAAAAAGAAGCAGCGCTGGGCTGTAGCCGAGCATGAAGGCCCGGGTCCCGTCCCCTGATTTGTGTGCGCAGACATGTTTGTCACTCATGCTGCTGCGTGCTGCTCAGTGAGGCCGGGCACTGCACACCCCACGTCCCAGGTGCACGGCTTCTGGCTGGATGGAGAGAAGCAGAAAGAAGAAGGAGGCAGCTCCATACCCACCCTGCCCGGTGCTGGCATCTGATTCCTGAAGGACAAATTCCCCCTGGTTCGGGCTCTTCCTCAAGGCTGAGGAGCGGCCTGGAGAGATTTCCCCCATCACCATGCTGGGCTGCTGTCCAGTTCTTGGTCTGAACAAAGGCTTGAGCAGCAGCAGGACCAAGGATTCTCTTGAAAGAGAAAAGACAAGCTCCACCCACAGAGCTCTTCTGGGCCTGTGAGAACTCGGGCACCACCGAGGGGACCAGTTTGAGGGTTTTCAGGCCACAGGTCTGGGCCTGGCCTGGGGCCAGGTCTGAGGTGTGACTCCGCCCCTCCATCCACTGGTGCAGTTCTTGATCTTTTATGGCCCTTGTGATACAGGGGAAGAGATGCAACTCCCAAACCTGCTAGATACCCAAAGCTCAAGCTCCTGTTTTCTAAAATTGAAGAATGAAGTCTAGGAACAACAGGTTCAGAGTAGGAAAAATGTATTGAGAGAGATAGCTTCTTTTTTAAGGGAGACAGGGGGACTGAAAAGCGGGTTGCCCGCTCACCCTGTTTCTCACAGGGGTTTTATGGGACAAAGCCTTGAGGTGAGGCGGTTCAAGGTGGAACAAAACTATAGTCAAACAATAAGATTACAAGTATAGTCGCTTAGGTAACATTGATTAAATGGGGGTCAAATAGGCAAGCAGGTCTCGTGGCCTGGCGAAAAAGGATTTTCAGTAAGGGTGGGTCAGGGATCATCCCAGGAAGGGCTGGGCTAAGACCTTCGCCCCCACCCAGGTGGTCTGCCTATGTAGAACGCCAGTCACTGCTGTTCATCCCTAGGGCAAGCACTCGGGGTGGTAGTTTCCTCCTTTACCATGCTGGCCTTCAGTGACTGTCTTGATTGTCCTCCACGTTGGCTCCTCCTGGCCGGCCCTGTCTAACTGTCTACGAGATATCTAATTAATTTACCTATCTGCAATACTGGGAGGAACCCCGGAGTCCAAAGCCCGCAGAGGACTCCAACCCGCATAGCCAGTGACGTGGTAATTGGGGTCCTAGTGGGCCAGGTCCCGAAGACCGCAGGGCGCATGCCTGGGCATCTCCTGTGCAGCTGAGCTACCCGGTTGTCTTTTCCAGTGTGCTTGGCCCCGGGCACTCTGCTCCTGGACAGATGTTCACCTCAGAAGGCCGAGCCTGCCCTGGAATGCCCGCTCCAGCTCGGCCCTCACTTCTTTCCCATGTTTCCTTGGTTCCTGAGGCCTCAGGTCCCGAGGACAGCGGCTCTCCCGTCCTCCCAGGCTGCAGGCCTCATCCTGTTGCCCATCTGCCCCACCTGTGTCCTCGGCTCTTCCGTGTGCTCTTGCTGTTACAGCTCCTGTGCACTTCCACACAACTGTGCAGCCAGTTTGCCAAGGGAGGCCTCAGAAGACACCTTTAATTTAGTTGGAATTATATTTAATACAAAGACCGGTTTGGGAGGAAATGACATCTCTGAGACACTCATTTTCCTATCTATAAACATGACCTATCTTCCCATTCCTGTAAGACTTTCATGTCTACTCTGAAAACAGGCTATTTCTCCATCCTCCTGTTCTGCTGTTGTCAGGAATTCTGGGATTTTTGTTATGACTGCCTCTGTGGCTGCACGTGGTTAAGAGCTCAGCCCTCCTCTCCCTTAGGCCACCCCTTTGTTCCGGAGCCTGAGAAGCACCATGTAGGCCTGTGCGCTCTCCGGTCTCCCTGCCCACTCACCCACAACCATCTCCATCCGTGTTTCCCAACTCTGAGAGTTTGCTTTGGTGCAGTTAGTCAAGCTTAGGCATCGACACTTTGTCTTTCAATCTCCAATGTCTGCTCGATAGGGTGGCCCACACCTGTCATCCCAGCACTTAAGAGGCTGAGGCAGGAGGATCGCTGAGTTTGAGGCCAGCCTGGGGTACACAGTGAATTCAAAGCCAACCTGAACTACAAAGTGAGACCCTGTCTCAGAAATAAAATAATAAAGTTCTGTGTCTACCCAGACCTTCATAACACCTTTACTTGAAAATAGGGTCTCTGCAGATGTACTTTGTAGAGATGAGGCCACCCATACTGCGTTTGGGGGCCTGAGTCCAGGGACTGGCCTCTTCATAAGAGCGAGGAGGGCACTTGGATGCAGAGAAGTCTGGGTAACCCCCAGGCGAAGGTTCAGGGGCCCGGCTGCCAGCCCCAGAGCCACCAGAAGCAAGGCCAGCTCTCCCCTGAGCCTTACAGAAGACTCCCTGCTGACCCCTGGGTTTCAAACTCCTGGGCGAGAGACAATGAGATTCTCCTGCTTGAAGCCACCCACTTTGCAGCAAAGCCTTATGGCTGCTCTCAGAAGCCTACTGCTGCTCTCTTAGTACATGTACCCATTTCCCTAAGGACCTCAGGGTTAGGAACATTCCTAAGAATGGGATTTCTAGCCTAGTGGCAAAGTGCCAGCTAGAATATACAGCCCTAGGGTCTACAGCTCAACACAGGTAGTGCAGGAGAGTGGAAGACACACCCAGAAGTTTTGGAGGCAAAGTGTACAGTGTAGGGGACAGGGGAAGGGGACGTTACCAGAACCTCTGCAGTGAGTCCTGCTCTCCTGCAAGCCACGGCAGCACACGGCGAATTACAGGAAAGGTAGGAAAATGAGACTGAGAAGAAGCTGAGCTTTGGGTCTGATCAGTGCTGCTCTAGGCGGCAAAGACAAAAACCCCTAGCTTGCAGCACCTTTTATTTAGTACATCAGGAGAAACAAATGTAACAAATGAATATGTAGATTTCAGCATCATATTGGGATGAACAAGGTGTAACAAAAGACTGGGTGGAGGTGGTGGAAATCTAAGAACAATGAGGAACTATGCAGATGAAGATTTAGTTCCTCCCAGGAGCTACACAGATGAAGATTTGGCTCCTCCCAGGGCGTCTCCCACAGGTGTGGTCTTGTCCTGGAGCATTACAGCATCATGGGATCATTGAGATCTTCCTTGTGACCTGAGGCCAAAATGGAAGTATGTCTTGGAGTGTTATTGCTGGCCTGTAGGCAGGAGAACTAGGCCTACTCAAATGATTTTTCCCTAGAATTATGTAGCATTGCTCCCAACAGTACTGTTCCATCTTTATCATCAGCAGGTCAGCCTGGGACTGTCACAAAGAGACTGATCCCCCTTTGGGGCTGAGCAGAGCAGGTTATACTCTCGGGAGGGGCAGGGCCAGGCTTGCAGGAGTTGAGCACTGTGCATTGGTTACCTAGGGCACAAGTCATCTGGGCCCAGCAAATTCCCGGGTTATCAGACATTACAGACAGCAAGCTCAGTGCACAGAGCCACATCCCATTTACGTTTGTCGGGAGGTAGAAGTAATAAAACTTTTTAAGAACAGAAAATTCCTGAGATGTTTGAGAGGAAGTGTCAGGCCGGGCAGGCCGGATATGTTGACGGGATGGGTAAACCTCTTAGTCAGTAAGTCCAGCTTTAACTGCAAAAAAGCATGTTCCCCATTCACTAGGACTAAAATGCATACCAAGTCTGCAAAATCTAAGGCCTAGATTTTGTTTTCTGGTTATAGAAAGCACCCACATCCTAGAACACTTTACTAAGACTTTATTGCTTATGCAGTTAAAAACACAGTGATTGAGCTATAGAAGTGTCCTGTACCTGGTCCCAGGTTACTCTGTCCAGAGCTTCCCCAGACTGTTGGGAAATGGGACACCACTAGGCAGGGGCAGGCTCCACAGAGATGGCACCTCCCAGAAGCTTAGAGCTGGCAGAGGGCTGGCTGCAAGAAGGCTGGCTGCAAGAGGGCCCAGGAGTGTAGGCTTAAACCAGGGCCCAGGGGCAACATTCCCTGAGGCAAATCAAGCCCCAGCCCCTCTGGGGTCTCCAGACCAAAGGCCGGGTGTAGGAAGAAGCACTGTGGAGGGCAGAGGCTCCAGGCACTGCTGGAGATGGGCAAGCTTGGCAGAGTGGCCTGGGAATGAATGGTGGTATAATTTGTGACAACTGGGTAAGGCCTAGATTTTAAAAATCAAATCTTACCTTTATTCCAAGTGGAAATTTATATATATTATATATTTAAAATATGCTCCAGGGGTCATGGTGCAGGCCTGTGATCCCCGCACTAAGGAGACTGACGCAAGAGGATTCCAAATTGGAGCCCAGCCTGGACTACACAGAAGATCCTGTTTCAAAGACAAGCAATGGCAAGCTGAAACAGGAAGGGCATCCCAGGGTCAGGGGTAGCTGAGGTAAATCTACAGAGAGGGAGGTTAGGAAAGCCTAATGGGTTTTTTCTTGTTAATGAACATTTCTTTGTTAGTTATGGCCTAAAAAGTATTTACAGGGATGGTCATAAACTTTTGAGAAGTTATTTTAGATTTGTGAAATAACACAGGGAAGCTGTTTCAGGGATTCTTATCACTGTTCTCAACCTGAAGATATTTGAGTTTCCAGAGAATTATCTCGAAGTCCTTCAGCTAGCTTCCTCACAGAGCAGTTTGCATGTTTTCCCCGTTAGTACAGTGGTGCGTATCCCTGCCTGTCACGCGGGAGACCGGGGTTCGATCCCCCAGCGGGGAGGCCACCCAGTGGTGCTTTTGTGCGGATCACTAGCAGCCTTCGGGCTTTGTCCCCCACTGTAACTCCGTCATTTTGCTCCCGAGCGCCAGATCGAGGTCAGGACCTTGGCTCAGGTCTCTGCGCCCTGCGTGGGGCCGGACAGAAAGGCGAGGGAATCCGCGCG